AGACAGGGTTTACAATCATAGTTCTTTAGTCTTGTAGCGTTTCTGTGTGCTTTACAGCAAGCTGGACGTCTAGGATTACTCCTGATAAACAGAAATTCTCCTTTTCTTCTCTGAGCTTGGCAGCACAGGCATCTGAAGGAGCCCTCTCTGCCTAGATGAAATAACTTCCTTTTCTTGTTGCCTGAGTTCACGGCTAGCTGAGATGCATCAAAGTCAGGTCAAGGAATCAGAAATAAGGAAACTAGAGAAGCCTGGGCAGCAGGAGTCAATTTCTTTAAGCTACAGGGTTTTTTTCCCCTTTGTTTCAGATTTCTATTGGTATTGAGAGAAAGAGAGGAAAGAAATTAAAAAAATATGTACACAACACAAAGACTGGAACTATATGCATAAATTATATACCCAAGCAGATGCCACATGGATTTCAGTAATTGCAGTAACAGATTCTTCCCTATTTCTAATATTGGTTTTGCCTGTCCTGCCAAAAATTGTAAATAGTAAGTAAAATTGTTGTGGTTGTTTGGATTTTTTTTTTTTAATTAGATGCAGTTAAATAAAGGCCCACCATTTCTGTGTTCCCTTTTGTGATCATTCAGAGGTGTCCTTTTTTTCAAGACCATTTTGACTGAAATGGACTCTTATCCTCTGTGTTCCTCCGTTGGTGCAGTATTAATATAGATAGAAAACCTATATTTCTGGAGAATAATTGGACAGTATGCCACCTGACTGCAGTTCATTTTCAGGATTCACAGAAATGATGACCTCCCAAGAGTCTGGGCTGACAGGAGTGCCTCACTCCCTGTTCCCAGGTACATCTTGCTGGGCACAGCCACTGTCAGGATCTGGAATGTGGTCTGTGCTGTTCGTAATGCATTCCACTTGTTTAAGCTTTGCATAAAACCACACATGATGGATAATAAAACATCTGTCCATAGATAAATGTTTCACTTTTCAGAATGACCTGAAGCACCGCGTGGGCTTTTGAACGTGTGAGACAGTCTGCTCACTGCTAGAGGGGCATGAGTGTTTATTATTAGATGTCCTGCATCCTTATGGAATGCAAAGCAAGCACGTGCATGCACACACATATGTACAGAAGAATGAATAATTATGATAAACAGCTGCCTAACAGGTATCTTTATAATGCAGAAATCGCAACCATTTTTACCAGGTGAAATCAATTCTCTGTGCCTGCATCTTCATTGCTCCTCTTGTGCTATTTTTTCTGCAGAAAGTACATAATGAAATTATTAGCAACAAAGCACCGAGTCTTACAGAAAACAGAATTAAATCTAGGCTGGTGCTAATACTCTTCAGCATTTAGTCTTACCCTTTTCCTCTACCAAATGTACTTCCGTCTTTCTTCTCAAGAAAACAGCTTTCTTGCAACAGAAATATATGCTCCTCAAAGGAGAGGTGCTAGAAAAATGAACCTTGCTGTTCTCGCAGAGGTGGGGGCATTTTTCTCTCAGCTCATTCTAATCTGTCATTTACAAATCTACTTTTGCTAGGAAGGCATAGACCAAACCTGTGACTTGGGGAATGTGGGTGTTTAATTTGGCAAGGGAGGAGAGTTGTTCAGCAGCTACATTCAGAGATGCTTCCTCCGAAAAAACAAGAAATCTCCGTCAACAGAAGTACAGTGGTGGCATTAATGTGGTTAGTACAGAATGGGTCACCAGTTTGTGCTGGTAGATGAATTTTCCACCTTTTTAGTTGCAAAGAAACATACTGTTACTCAGCAATGTAAAAACCTGCAGTAATCCAGGGAGAAAAAGAGCTGGTTGTCTTTAACAAGGGATTGCAGAGGGGACATGTACCTTCTACCCTCATTCCTAAGGGTCAGTGACAGACGAGGCTGACACAGGGCGCGTGGCAGAAGGCCAGGCAAAACCAGAGTAGCCAGAACCCCTCCCAGAAGATTAATAACATGTTGATGCACTGCGGATACAAATAAGTACCAGAGACATATCTACCCCAACACAGCCTAAGCTAATCTTGACACACTTCTTGAAATTGTTTCTATTTATTTTGAATCATTTTTACAAATCTTTTAGCATGTTGGAAGGACACCTTACATTATGAAGCCTCCACTCTCAGGATTCTAGGTCTCTTAGTTTGTTTAGACCAATACTCTTATTTATAGCTATTTATTAATCAAGAGGCCTGACGAGCTGCTGCAACTGAAGATGCTGCTGATTCAGTAGTTTAGTAAGAGGGTCATCTGAGGATTAGAGTCTATGTAAACAGCCTTTATGGAAAAGATAATTTATTTTTTTTGTCAATTAATTGGCCTGGAGAGTCTTGTCATTTCAATCTGTCATTGCTGAAGTTTATTTTACTGCAATATTTTGAAACAAAGCAAAAAAGGAAAAGTGTCTAGTTAATGCTTTTGGCAAGCTCTCTGTTACTTAATAGCTTCTTGAAGTCCTAGATTTCTTTGGTTTTCATCTTAATTAACACTCTTAATTGACCTTCTGTGCTCTCTAATTTCTCCCTGTAAAGAATTAAAAAATAGGCTTCTAAATTCTTTTCTGCAGTCAGATTGACATGAAATTGCTTGTCTACAGATCATCTCCACCTTAACAAACCCTTTCTTTTTCCATTTTTATTTTTCTACCACTGAATTCCCCACTGGAAATTACAGTCCATTGAACCATAGAGCTAGAATTGATTGTGCACATAAAGAGTCCTGGAACAACTGAACAAAGAAAAGAACTTCCTGGAATTCTATGGTAAAATCAGAACACAAGTGACAACAAAACTTTTACCCAATTTGAAATCACCTGCCCTTGATCGTTAAAAAAATATTTGGTGTTCCTCCACTTTCCCCTGATGAGAGAAGGAACGAGTTTTTCCTTCATTTAGCCTACATCAAAACATGGTTATAGATGTCAAAGAAGATGAATTTCAGTCACCAACATTTTTATGGGGCAATCTCTATTCCATCTTCTTTATATCAATATTGGATTATTGGAAAGCTAAGGCTAAAGAACCCTGCCTAATTGCTTTTATTTTTAATTAATTTTTAATTCAAGCTTTATGTATCACACATTACAATTCTTTTAATCCTAAACCTGTTTTTTTACTGTTTTTTTCTAAAATATAGAAGGCAAGTCTCAATTTAAGGTGTTGTGAGTCAGTTCTTTCCACTGGAGTTTATGGAAAGCATTACTAAAATGCAAATGCTGTTTTGAGACTTGAAACTTGCAAATAACTATTAATCTTGGAGCTTACTTTTCTATTCTTTGATGAAATAATTATATTTTAAGCACCTAAAACCTTCACTAAGAGCAAGATAGGCAAGGATATACTTTGTTTCAAGCGTCTTAATGAAGTTGATTCTATTGGTCTTTTCATGTACGTAATGTTATGCATATGCCTATACACTTCTCTGAAATGCTGGGTGGTGTTTAGAATGAATTACATTCCAATAACTAACATTTCTGTAAGAACCCTAATAATGCAGGCAGTATACAAAATAAGCTTCCATTTTCAAGATAAACAAAGTAACTTTTTGTGAGTATTGCCTTTTTATTGCTGCATGCAGCTGTAAATCATGTTTTGAAAGCAAACCCATCTTCTTTTTAAATGCATTTTTTGAAAAACAGCGCATTATTTTCTCCTGAGCTGTTGAGACAATTTCCTGCCTAAATCTGGTGCCCCATTAATTTCAGAGCATAAGAAAAAGTCACTGGGGACAATTTTGGATTTGCTGCACACGCATGTATCACAATAGATTTGCCTATAGTAGTTCTACAGATGATGTTTAACAAACTCCTGTTGTCCCGGGATTAATGTCCTTCTTGCCTCAGATTTGTACATTAACACAGCCTTATGGTACACATAAATGCAGGATTCTTTTATTTTTAGTGTGTGAAATTTGAAATTCGAATGCAATTACAGTAACAAGAGGAACTCTTTCTAATGAGTCTCAAAAAGCCCTGGCCAAAAAACATGTAAAACTCTCCTGTAGAGAAAGAAATTGAGTGCACTGTGTTAGCATAATAGCAGGGGCTGAGACATTGCTTTGCACTACAGTTTTATGGGGTGATATTTTAAAAGGTATTCAGTGATTTATGACTTTCTAGGGACAGCTAAAATTGTTTTCACATTTCTAATATTGCTTTCATTAGAATGTTGAAAGTATGTTTACGGTATCAGATTGAATTCTAAGGTGTTACCAAATCATCCAGAATCCCCACTGCTTAAGTATATTCCTTTGTATCCCTATGTATCTTCAGAGGAAAAAAATGGGAAGAATGTAAGTGCTTTGTTTTAAAGCATATAATCTGTATTCTGTCATGTACTTCATCTCCCAGGGAAGGTATCTGGGAACTCACTCTGCTGTTTTTATTTATCCTGCCAGTGTAGTATATAGATGAGAGGACTAAGGTCCAATGGTGTTAAAACAAGACATGAAATATTGATTAATTCTTTTTTAAAATTCCTTTTTCCTCCTGAGTATAGCAAATTTCTGATGCTACTGTCAATAGAGTACTCTCCAATAAACCTCCATTATCGGAAGGGTCCTGATCTTCATAGTGTTCTTATAAATGGTTATTAGGAGTCTAAATGGCTTTAAAAGCTCAAGGCTAGTGTTCTGGTGCAAGAGCAGAAAGCAAGGTAGAAGCAATACAGCTTTTTATCATGGTAGAATGTTACTCCGAAATAACATGAATTGGATTGGGAATTCTCTTTGCTAGACGGCAGCAGAACATCCTGTTTGAAGAAATGAAGATCCTAACGGAACGGGTAAATAGATGTACAGTTTTGTGGCTAAAAAGGTGTCAAGTAAAGAAGCACAATTATAGTTGGTGTCCACCTAATGAAACGCGGGTATATGACACCCTGCCTTTTGTTCCCACTTGTCAAAGTGAACCCATTATTTATTGTTTCAAGAATGGTGCTTTACAAAAGCAGCTAAACAGATGCTTAAGAGTTTCCCCCGGGAAAAGGGTGTTTCAAGAAAGGTAGAGATAGAAGTTCACACCAGCTAACCCATGAAGGATGATAGACATTCACAAGGAAGAGAAGATGTAGCCCAAACTATTTTGAGTGTTCTTGAGTACAATAAAACTGTCTGGGTGTTAAGGTAATTGTTTTTCCACTAAAAGAAATAAGGTTTGTTTAAACTGGAATGTACTTGAGTTTTTTTAGGAATGTAAAGCTCTTGGAGCTTTTCTGTTGTACATAATAAAAGGTCTTCATAAAAGGAGGAATTTGAATCTCAGGCCTGTAAGTGTCAGGTAAATGTCATTAGAAAGGTTGTACAACTACTTTTTCACCCATCATCTTAATTAGGATTTAGTCAAACTTCAACAAGAAAGATCAAGGAACTAACACAGAAACTGAGCCAAAAGCCACTGATTGGCAGATTTACCTGGGAGGCAGGAGACTGTAGGAGTTCTTGCTCTGAAGCAGGAAGAAACACCTGAGGTTGGTTCTTCTGTCTCATCGGAAAGTTGGGTTTTATAGGCTGGGGAAGTTGCTATATGGTTTGGGTTTTTTTTTTCCCCCACATGAAAGCTTTATTCCTACCCCAGCATGCAAATATGTTTTCAGAAGATTTTGTTGATGAGGGTAACTGATTTACATATAGGCCTACTTGGGAGTTCTTTTGCAGCTAAATTTAATTGCGTGCAAACCGTAGGCTACTTCAGCTTACAAGGGAGAACAGACCGCTCCATGCTGTACCCAAAAGCTAAAAGATGTGGTATAAAGCTAAATTGTCCCTTCCTCTCAGTCCCAATTCTGTCAAACTGAGCCAAATCTGGGGCTTTTTTTTTTTTAAATAGGACAAGTTATTTATAATTTTAAGGTAATTATTTTGATTGATTTCAGTCAAACTCAAAGCAATACATGGGCAAAGCTCAACTTCAACCAGTTAGTAAGCAGTGAGAGCTAAGTGTGTTTTTATTACTTGTCAGGTTTTAAAGCAGTAAGTCTTGCTTGCCCAGGTTATATGGGTAGCTCTGTTGACTCCCAGTCCCCCACTGGTAACACTGGTGTGATTAGAGTGAACGGGATTTGGTCTGTAAAACACAATGCATACGTTTGCTCATACAGCCAATGTGTGAGCCAAATCTTTACACATCATTTGTTCTCACTCACGCACTTAATACTTTTGGACTGATTTAATGCAACTAGTTATTGGAGTAAAGGTTATCAATCTGGGCATTGTCCTCTTGTGTCTTTCTCTCTGCAATGTTATCTTGAAGAATGATAACACAAACATATGGAAAGGGACATGCACAGAATTTTGTTCTTCAGATCCTTGTATTAGATGGTTTTCTACCAAAATGTCCTCAAAGATTTCATTACTGTGTGAATTTTCAAGCTGGGGATAGCCCACTGCAGCTTAAGGTTTTGCTTGTAGAGGAGGATGGTGCATACTCCTGTACACACAGCACCAATTCTGTCAGTAATTTGCTTTCTGGTGAACTTTATCCATTGTACACCCTCTACTAACTGCTGCCTTTCGGATGTAAAAAGAAATTATTTTCTGTCTTATGGGAGATGCATTGTTTGACATCAGATATTTAGCATGGTATTTTTTCTGTGGACAATAGCTTCAGGCCCCAAGCTGGCAAGAATGAGAGCTTATCTATAAATAATTCAAAATAATTGTATGGCTTTGACAGACTGTCAAGTTGCTTAATGCCTTTTGTCCCAGGTAATAGATTATATTTCTTTGATGAAGTGTTGATAATTTCTCATTGCAATTTGTTTTGTGTGTGTTGTATTTTTACAGAGTCCAGTCAGGTTCATATCTCAGTACGGGTTGGTTTACCTTAATTTTGGCTATGGATGCCTGCTATGGAATTCACGTCTATGGGATGATAAATGACACCTACTGCAAGTAAGATCACAGGAAATTATTTTCATGCATCTACAATTCTGATGTCTTGTCAAAATTTCACAATTGATTTTAATATCATAAATCCAAAAAATGGATCAGGCAGTCATTTCCCAGTGTTTTGCAATGATGTGACCCTATTGTCAGCATATTTAGTCCTGATATGGCATTTGCTGTTGATAAAATAAAAACATTTACAAAGTCTAACATTAGATGTCAGAAGGAACTTTTTTTTAATCAAAGATCTTTTGCAGTTTCTGAATGAGCTGGAAACAATGTTCATACTCTTCTGACAAAATGTACTTAATTCTGCTGCTAAAACAAATCTATAGAGGAAACACTAATATATTAGTTCTCTAAATACCAAATACAACTGAAGTGAAAGAAACTGATTAGCCCGTGATAGTTACCTGAAATTACATTTCACCACCATTGAGCGACCTACTTGTACTTTCTAGGTTATATATGGCTTGTTTTGAGTAGTAGGGTTTCTAATTAGATAATAAAACAAATCCTGTGAACTTTATCACAGTAAACTGACATAATTCCAACCAACTACTGTTAGTGAGCTTACAGTGACAATGGATTAATACTGTCAGAAGTATAACCTTAAACAGTTTCTTAAAGTCTAAGTTAAATGGCTTAATCTACGGTATACAGTAGCAAAATATAAAATGAAACTACTCCTCATTCAGAAAAGCACAAAGTGTCATAAAAATGTATGATACTGGTACAACTCTATTCTTTTGTACCTAGGCTAGTTCATGTCTTGCACATAACCAATCCAGCAGGTCCTCAGCTCCTAAAGTCTTTGTGCATACCCTCACTCCACATTCTGTGTTACTCCAGTGTGGGACTCATTCCTCTCAGACCCTTAAAAAAAAAAAAAAAAAAAGAGGAAAAGGAATTGGAGTCACAGCTGTTCAATTAGGGTATCTTAACATTAGAGACTGACTTTTTAGAACTTGCAGATCTCACTGATTGAGTGAGTCATCCAGATGGAATGAACATATGTTATTCTTTGTTTATGAAAACACAGTAAGCGCCCTGAGATGAGGGGTGACAGGACTGAAGTTGTCCTCACAGAGTTCAGCCAAGCTGGCATTGCACAGACCCAATGTAAAACCAGTTAACAGCATGATAGCACTTCAGTCTGTTGGCAGAGAGAAGGATGGGTTTCCTTAAAGCTTCAGTTCTGATTGATTACCTACTTATGATGTGTATTATTCTTGTAACTGCCTTATTCAGGCAATTCAAGAACCAGTTGCAAGACTTGGGACCATCCAGTGAGAAGACTTTGATTCGGGATGGAGCCTTATGAACTGAGGTCTCTCGGGTTAAATAGAATGTGCTGTACCCGTAAGAGCCAGCCCACCAGCTTCTTACTGACTGATAAGATACACTTCGCTTCATTTCCTATAGGAAAATTCCGACAGCTCACGCTGCAATCAAAGCCCTTATACAATTTAGCAAGGGAGCTCAGGTGGAAAGGATTTCAGATAATTCAGGTGCAGTATATATCAATGTTTGTTCTTGAAAATAATACTTAAGTGTATCTTTTTTATTCCTAGGTCAGAAGGCTTTCGTAAAGTTCCCTACCACTATTACGAGCCAGGAAGAGATGAGTGTGAGGAATACTTCCTGCATGAAAATGCTCCGTATGGAGGCCATAGGTTTATCACGGAAAAGAAAGTATTTGCTAAGTGGGCCAAGAAACACACAATAATATTTACACACCCCAACTGGACAGTGTCTTGATGCTGGTTTTTTTAACTCTCCCTTAACAGCATATTACAAAAATGTCTCAGTTTACAATAATTTTGCTTACATCTGGCTGGCCTTTCTCAGCCTAGGTAACACTAAACTAAAAACTAGAAGACAAGGAGGGTGATGGTTCAGCTGATAAGCAAGATTAATCATCTGTGGAAGGCAGGCACATTGTTATTTCTTAGGGTTTTAGTCCACACAATGCACTTTATACTTTAACTGGATTTTACTTCAAGGCAGTAGCAGTTAAAGACAGATGGGATTTCCTGTATGTACAGGTGCACATGAGAACGTGGTGATCCTTCAAAACTTGTCCATCACCCTAGTTAATAAACATTAGTATTTGTAGCTCATTTGCAGTACTGCAGCACTAGTTCCATTTGTGGTATGAGCAGAAAATTTCCACAGAAGAAATGTGAGGAAAAATAACAGACCTCCAAGGTCTCTGAGTGAGTAAATTTTTAAAAACACCTGAATACGTTGATACATGTGAGCACTTGCATATGTGGTAAAATGAGAGATGAGTTAAACATGGTTCTTGAACTGTACCCAGCTATCCCATGGGAAGATATTATTTACCCAAGGCTCCTGATCAATTCATAACTTCTGACATGCAGCTTCCTTCCACCCTGGTCAGGCTGCACCACCTTGGATGGGTGTTTTGTACTTCTGGAGGATTTTGCCCCCCTGTTTAGCTTCAGCAGTGTGGCACTTAGCACAGGCTGTGTTTTGCAGCCCGGGATGACCGTGTTGGCTGCTGTACCAAGCCTGCTGTCAGTACCCAAGCTGATTACTGTAGAGTTGTCTCATGAACATCTCCTTTACTCCAGTTGTGCCTTTGAGTTGCTCCGACATTCAAATATCAGTATTTTGACAGTATTTCACATGCAGCTATCATTATTTTAATTCTTCAGTTTCTCCATCTTTAAAACCAGGGATAAAATGTATCTAGCTCACAAGGGAGTTGTGAGGATTAATTTAAGTCCACAAAGCAATTTTCTGATGAAGAATGCTAACAGACCATTTATTCTTAACACAAAAACAATGATACCTGTCATTTTATTTTTGTCTGTTGGGTATTTGAAGAAGGTGACAGCATGTCTGGATCTGATGGTGAATTGTTCGGTTCATTCACTTTCCTACTAAGGATAATTTGTAATACTGAGTTCTCTCAGCTTGCATTGCTTCAGACGGAGTTGAAAGAACTCACCATCTCACAGTCTTATCTGCACATCAAGAGGCAGTTCAAGAATTTTAAAATATACTCATCTCCAGTTCAAATATGTATTTCCAAGCTTACTCTCATGGAAAGTTTTCAACTGCAGCAGACTCATTTGTAATATGACCATAATTCATCTACACATGTGAGTTTTATTTGAACTGTATTTAAATTAATGCTTTAAGGTTAGAATATGTCCTACAAATATTTTAACATCTGGAATGTCAGATTCAACACTGTAATAGCCAATACTGTGAACACTTGAAAGAATTATGTGTGGAACATGACACACAGGGTTTACTCACACTACTTAAACATTAACCAACAGGAAACTTTGTATGCTTTTGTAAATCATGAAAAGGGGAAAGTAAAAAGCTATTTTTACATGTAAGTATTTGTATACTGACTATTTCCTATTGTATATTTGTATATATAAATCTCTATTTTGTATGTTCATGGCATATATATTCTCTTACCAGCCTCTGCAACTCTTGGAATGGGGAGGAAATCTCTTCACCAGTGTTCCTCCTCCTGATGATTGGTTTCTTGTTCCTGTTGGTAGATGGTGTCAGGGTATCATCTCTCTTGCCCCTTCTATTCTATTCTAAATGCAGCTTTCTGAGTCTGTTCTTAATATAGCTTAGCTTTCACTGCTTACTTTAATGCTTTAAGTGTTCATCCTGGTTGTCAGAAAAAGGCTGGCACCTCTCTTATAATCCTGGATAAACATCTATATTCAAATACAGGGTCTGTCCCAGGCTTCTTGCGTGACTCGATGCCTCACCTTCCTGTTTGGAAAAGGAGAACAATAATATTGTTCTACTCCCTGTCTCAACTGACTTTCTTGGAAGCTCTTGAGACGGATATTCTCATTTGCAATGTATTTGTATAATGCCTTGCAGAAGAGGTACCCAGGGTCTCTGAAGGCTACAGGCAGTGCTGTAATATACAAATGATTTAAAGTGTCTGCTTCTTGTCCCTGGAGTTTAAAATCAATTGTGGCTGATAGCATGGGATGAAATCAAGAGGGGGAAGGGGCATGGATGGAGGGAGAGTTGCAGCATCAAAAAACAGTGCGTTAGATTTATCACCATATGCATATGCATCTTTTCAGTTCAGATGGATGGCTGGATAGATGGAAAGCTAATAAAAAAATTGTAATACAGGATTTGAAGAATGCAGGACATGCATAACTGGGGATAATTTTCTACACATATTGTACAGGGCAGCTTGGGAAAACCTAGAGCTCCCTTGTGGGAAGAGAAGCTGAAAAGGAGAACATCATTCAAACGGAACTTGTATTTAGGTCTTTGGGTTAATAGGAAGTTACTATGAAAGTGCTGCAAACGGAAGTGCAGTTGGGCTGGACAGACTTAGATGAGAAGTGCCCTCGTGCAGCATGCTCTTTCTCACCAATGAACATGACATAAGGATTCTGTCTGAGCCGTGTTCAATGCAAGGCAGTTTTTAAGCCTGAGAAGGTTTTTAAGATAATTAAAAATCGTCAAATCACCATAGATCTGCTGTAAAATATGTGCTTCATACTGAAGCTCTTTGTAGAGTGCTTGCATGCTGTATGAATCAGTATCTTACGCAAGGGCTAGCTAAGAAAAATACAGCTGTAAGAACAGCTAAGTGTACAGCAAAATTGAGAACATCATTAGAGTGCAGTTGTCACAGAGCAAAGTAAAAGTGTTGCTCTCTGCTTGGATTTGCAGTAAGAGCAGATCAGCTTTTAGAAACATTGCAGCAGCCTTCATTCACACTAGAGTAAACGAACACCATTTCCCTTATTTAAACGAGCCTGTCTTTAGCATAAACTAAACACATACTTGCATGATATTTATTATATGAGTAAGGAACCGTGACTGCTATGTTAAAGATGATTCTGTGAAGAAATGTCTTCATCGAAATCTATTAAAAATCAGCATTGTGGTACCAAAGAAAGAATCTCGGTATTTGGCTGTGCAGTAAGAGACCTTGATAATTCACCTTCTGAGAGCAGTTAAGACATCAGCTGAGAATCTTTTATTAATTCTTTAAAATAAAGCCTACTACAGTTTAACTGAATGCAATCAGATCCTAATTGCTTATTCATTCAAGCAATCCTATTTTAATCAACTACTCGTGTATAAAACAAGCAGGGAGTTTACCTGAGGTTTGCAAAATAGATCTTCACATTGCTGCTAATAAAGGGATACTCACAAATAATTTCATATTTTTTTTCCATCAGTCAGCTAAAAAGTCACCAAATGTTTTCTTTTATAATTTAGTTAGAATTCTAAAATACAATTTTTTGGGGAAAAAAAAAAAGCCCAAACATTTATTTTATGGTTTGCTGTAACTTTTGTTTTAATGAGTGTTTAAATTTTCATACATTTTAGTTCTTATGTTGCATTACCTTCTGATTTAATTTTTTTTCAAGGAGAAGAAAGTTTTAAATAGGAGCAGAAATTTTCTTAGGGAAAAAAAATCTTTTTGACTGGCTAATTACTGATTCACAGGTAATTAACTGAATAATATGGAAACCGAGGGTTTTTTCCCAAACAAACACAGCAGACATGATCCCAACCTTCTCATTCCCACTAGATGTCCACATCACATCCCTCAGCTTATACCAAGGCCTCTTCATAGAGAGAAAAAAGTAGTCTATGTATCCAGCCAAATCCCTTTCCATCTGGGCTGGGAGGATCCATCTGCAGGTGGCTCATAGCAGTTACACAAGTAAGCAGGAAGGTCTGAGGAAGAGTTCTTAGGTGCAGATGGTGTTCCAGCTACTAAAAAATGCTGCTGAAGTGCTGTAGGAGAGAAGTACTCATTGATCCCTCCCAGAAATACTTTTTGAAGGTATTTTATTTCTTCACTTGCCTTTAGCTTGTTTATAGAACTGTTGTCCTAATCTGTCCTCTAGGAATGGCAATGGAAAAACATACCCTTTATAGGAAAAAAAATAGAGGCAAATTCTGTGTTGTTAAAGATTTCTATATAAGCAACACCTGGGATGAAGAAGTCAGCCTGACAAACCTTAAATTATCTGAAGACTCTGATTTAGGAAGCTCTGAGGACTCAGTTCAAAACTAATGGAAATCACTTTGGCAAGTTCAAGAATACAGCACCCGTCCCAGTAAAACCTTTGCACTCCTGGCTAATAAGGTAACAAGTGTTTTGTCTGAGAAGGACCATGTGCACATAATGCATTGCTTAGCTAATAAAGAGGAGCCCATCCAACAGTTGGAAGGCTGATGCAGGTGGTCTTAGTCACCTGCTCATGGGCTGGACAAAAGTAGGACCCCACACAAAGATAGCTGGCAGCAGAGCACTCACGCTCAACCAGAGGACGTGTCCAGGTAAGTAAGTATTAAATAAGAAATTGCTCATTAATTATAACTGGATGGTGCCCTTAGTAGAAAATCAGAAGCACTTTACATACTGCTGCTGATGTTTTGCTGACATTTTTTTTCTGCATGTATCTCAGAAATAGTGTATGTCTGTAGTTGTGCTTGAGTAAATTTGGTGTTTCTTGATGATGAACCTTAGGGTACTCACAAGAATGAAACTGTGTTAGTGCCAAAGGATCACAGAGAAGCTCTCTGTGGGCATTGTGAAGTACTGCATAAAATAATCTCATGTATTTACTAAAAAAGGCCTGTGTTTTTTCTGACTAGGCATAGTTCTTTTGAAGAAAAAGTGTTTAATTTTCAGCAGGTGTGTCTCATTCCTGAGAGGATGCAAAGGAATGTGACTTAAAGAATGGGAAAGTGAAGAATGATAT